TAAACGTTTTCGCTGTAATGTGTTGTAATGTTTGTTTATCATACGGCTACAACGCTACACGCATGAAGTTGTACATCAGACAATCGCTACAATAATTTGTAAGGCTGTTTGCTGCATAGTAAAGATAGTAATTACAGAGAATAACGTAAATATTGACTCGCCCTTCAAGCTGATTAAGAACATGTCAACCGCCATTAACCTGCAGCTGGCTGTTGCTATGGAGAATGAAATTAATGCTGCGACAGCGGGATAGTTGATGCTGTGTGGGTTTACGGTGTATACCACTGCCCAATCAATAATTAGGACCTTCAACAGCGCGCCTTTTTCAGCTACTGCCCTAGACTGGGTACCAGTCCTCTATTGAAGAAACGACTTGGGCACAAAATGAACATGTTTTTAATATGCATGCAAAAAAAAAAAAAGAATGTAGCTAAACGTTACATCATGGACGTATAAATCAAGACTGAATGGTTTTAGCTACTCTACAGGCAAATGATGTTGTGGCAGTATATTCCATAATAAGATATATAGACCACATGGCGTCGGTCTCTTGTTGTGTCCAAAGTTGACAAAACAGAACTTTCCTGACGACTGTCCAACTGGCAATTTTTTTCATCCCTTGAAAAGAACCCCCGTTACCGCCCCAAAGAAAGGTGGTAGTGCTGTCTGAGATGCTGGCCCGTTCAGTTCCTAATAATGAATAAATAAAAATACTGGCAACATATATCGAAGGGGAGGGGCCACCACCCCTCCACGCACACACAGAGGATACACTAAGAACGTTTGAAGTGAAGACTCAGTGATGGGTTATACATCTCTTTTCCTTATATGTAACTTCGCTTTGCAAACAAAATTAATGTACACAGTGTCTGGTTAATGACTTGGCCACTGGGAAAAATCGTTCTACAGTGCCTTGCTTAGGTCAGACAGCACAGTGGTACCAACAGGGCCCTATCCAAATCAACTGCCTTCGACTGCAATTAACTCTATGGAAAGTGGCTGGACCCATTATAGACTTGTGCGTTATTTCAAGCCGCAGCAAAATAAGTCCGACAAGACATTCCGTTTAACAGGAAATGCCTTCAACCGGCTTCCTATAGGCGCTCGTATAATTTCAAGTCACAGCCATAGCTTGTTGGGACGGCTTTGCGTATTGCCAGCAATGGCGTATTTCACCTATTGTTCCAACAAGATGGCGGGAACAGGGGAACGCATGCTTTTGCACATAGGGATCACTACGCGTGTTATTTGTTCTTTATTTTATAGAACCAAGGCTTCCGCTACTAAAGCTGAATCAACGCATGATCTGTCATGGGGATGCAGTTTCCAGAACAAAACATCTTAAATATAGAACGTAAGTGACCAATTGGCCGAAAAAAATTGCAAAATCGATGTCGAATTCTTGGCATACACCGGCACACAGGAGCATGTGCATCCGACTAGCGGATGCCCGTATGTCGACTAACGGATTTTCTAAAAGGTTCACGAGCGATCGTAAATGTCACAAGAAAACGACGCCCGATAGTATGAAAAACATTTTCTATATAACTGAAGTGAAAAACATAGGCGTAAGATTTGACAGAGAGAAATATCTTTCATAATGGAATCGAATTCTGAGCGCGCTCAAGGGGAAAACAAAATCAATCAAAATTGCTGCAGACTACACTTATCGACTTGTGTTTAGAACAAAAAAAAGGTTTTTGAGAGGCGTTTGCGATGGGATGGATTACTTGGGAATAGCTAAGTCCCTGAAATTTGAGTAATTGGTACCGTTTTCCCCAAGATATGGAGAATTGAAGGAAATATATGAATGGTGAGGCCGTCAATGCAAGCCCACGAAATTGATCGGGGAGAGCAGGACGCGAATTGAAAAGACCTCGTGTTGTGTACACCGTGAACCACGATGCGAGAAACTGCGTGGGATCGGCCGATCGCAAGCACGTTCTTTTTCCAATGTAGCAAATTACCGTGTCGAGAGGAGGGACGGTGGTGCCTCGCGCAATGTCGCTGTATCGAGTCTGTTTTTTTTCTCTCGCGCATAAATACAGTTATCTTATTTTAACCCTGGACATTGGTCAGCGCTGATGTGCTCTGTAGCTATGAAAGCACTGTCAGTCTCAATCAAGCACCGTACGGGTGATTCCTCGACCTGTCCCGATTAAACGCCCAAAAGATATAAGTTCACTTAAGCTGTCGTTTGTTATGGATCCCGTCCGACTAAATACTCACGATCCTTGCCACAGTTGAAGGTTTAAAATGTAGCTTATGGCCAAAATATGTATGCTCACAACAACACTTCAAAGCAATAATGGTAAATTGAAATAGACTGAAAAAAATTGCTTCAAACAAAATCGAAATTTTGCCGAACACATTTTCCCCCAGTTCAAAAAAGTTTGTTGAGCAAAAACGAAAACCAGTCAATCCCAATGAACCTGTCGTCATTTTTGCCACGACAAAAAAGCAGCTGATATTTTCTGCTAACATTTTTAGGACGAGAATACCCGAAATGCTTCATTTTACGTGAAATTATCCCGTCTGACAAGCTTTTTTTTAATGCCGATATAATCTTTGCCATGGTGAAGTGCAGTTATTCCCAAAGCAGGTCTGGGCGATGGACAAGCTTTTGCCCGTATTTTGGGAAAAAGATTGAACCAAAAACTCTGAACAAGGACAAATTAACGTCGATAGGGTTACTCTCGCGTCACAACAGCTAGAATGGGTAAATACATTTTCTCACACTCCAGCTTATGCTTCAAATATATATACAGTGCACCCCCGAAATCGTGTATCGTTTGTCCTTTTCAAACATAAAATGTCAACTGACGGGATTTATACACTAAGTTACAAGGTTTTAATGGTGAAACTTTGGGCCTAGTGGTGCTTTATATTTCATCTCACTTGCTCTTTCGGGGGATGGGATTCTTTTATTGATGAAAAAGGACAGTCGTTTTTATAAAAAACATTCCATCTTCTCAATCCACGGCCTGTATATGCTTTACTGTGCAGAGATAAATTTCCCGGTGAACGCTCACACTCAAGTGGGATTTTGCGCGACTTTCTTGTCTGATCTTACATTTCGCGTTTACAATAATGATTTTTAGTCGTGGAGTTGCTGACAGCGCTGTGTACTGAAACATACTGAGGTGTATAATTTTTTTTCCCTGAAAAGTGGCAGTAACCCGATTTCGAATTCTTCTGCAAATACCTGAGCATAATCTATAGATTGCCACAAGCATAAACGTTGAAGTTAAAAGCATAGGAACATGTAAGTTTTGAATACCGCCAGTTGACATTTCATGTTTTAAATGTGCGATATTTTTGTTTGTACATTTCCTGGTGGGATACACTCTAAACGAAGGTGGCTATAATTTACAGCATTATTTCAAAAGATGCCGGAGCTCTGCACCATCGAAACGGACATGCTATCATATTATCGAATCTGGTGACCACTTAAATATTAATGCAATATCGTAGGGATAATAGCAACATGTTACTATGGTGAAAGGACAGTAGTGGGCTGGAAAGGAATTGATGAGGAGAGTAGACAGATGGGTGGGTGTTAACAGCATCATCTCGGAAAATGAAATGAAGTGTGGACAGGTAGCCTATACAAAAGAGATTGATAGTTTGAGACACACGATTAAGGACAGACCAACATAAGAAAGTACCCGGGGTGTAGTGAAGTCTTCCTTCACTGGATCAAATATCACAAAATCCACCTCTTGTATAAAATACGAGTAGACCACTTTCGATTGTCAGGAGGGCCTGGGCGAAATCCCGTCCTTTCCTCTGCATTAGTTTTTGCTCAGTATCAAAGCATTGCATTTCTTCCTCTCTGATTTTGTAAAGTATTTTCTTTAGGAAACATGGAAAACAATTTGACCCAGTTTGGATATACCGTTGTCATAAAATTCCGGTTTCCAAGTGGGGTGTTGAAACATGTGAAATGCTGGTGACATGAACTACAGAAGCTCCGTTCGAATCAGCACTATCTCTGTATTTCTAATAGACGATACTGGGCTGGCAAGATTCGAAGAGGATGCATAATAATCCAACAAGAAGAACAAAACATTGCAAGGTTTAGTTCAGTATCATCAGCACGCTGAAGAATATGACGGGAGGAGTGACCATTGCAATTTTTCATTATAAATTTAAGAAGTACAAACTCCTTTTATCTGGAATGATAGGATATATGATGATAAATGTTACATACACAAAATACCCTGCAAAGGAAGTGATGTTACTTCAATAAACACTACTCTATACCTAGGGTGTTAGTTTAAGTGTGTACAGCTTAGCTGTCAAATCTGAGCAAGTCTGAATACTCGAGAAAAAAAAACCAAGTCGCCTATATAACACAAACCGCCGCTCACAGTGAGGGCTACGAAAAGAAGAGTCTGGAAAGATGGGCACTGCGGAAAAGAAGACAATTGTATATCGGTACCTTCAAAGTGAAAAGGTACATTCACATTAAGCTTGAACTCTGCTGGTTCGTGTAATACACATCAGATAAACAGGGTGAAAGTGAGGCATTCAACAGGATTCAAGGATTTCAAATACGACCGTTTCACAATAGTGCGCCTCCAAGAGTTTGCAACGTGTTGGCCAATCACAATGAGCGAAATTTGTCGACCGAATGCGCGTTTGGAAAGGGTCGACAGATTTCGCGCGTTGTGATTGGCCAACGCGTTGCAAAGTCTTGGTGGCACACTATTACGGATCGCCCGTATTAGTTAATTAAACACTCCGCAATCAAATAACGTCCTTATGAGAGTGCTCAAAGGACTTCTCAGTCATTTG